AATGGAGTCAAATACCACGAGATCGCACGGATAATAGAACTTGAGAATCCTTGAAAATTTATAAATTGTGATTTGTGTGCCAGAATATTAGTATTAGAAAATCTTGTGACTTGGAAGAATCGGTTAAAATCAATAGTCGAACCTAATTTCCAACGAGATCAATTTTGATTTTTTGAATAGTAGATTCAAAATTTTAGATAAAGCACTTTGGTCGCGCTTCTGTTTGTTCCTACTTTCGGAATATGATAGTATCAACAGTCATAAAGTTGAGGTTCCACGGAGAGAAAAGACACACCTCTACATAATTTTTGCACGCCAGTATACGCTATGTCATGTTTATAAACACTTCACGTAATCATCGCCTTAAAACTACTCTGAATTCCGCAGGAAGTCATCCAAAACTAGCATTTTAATTCAATGTAATTTGAATAAAACGAACTGTAAATAAACGATGTTCGCGTGTTTGAGTAACGCAATCGGAAATTTCGACTTCCGTTGTGGGAATCACCAACATTTCCGCCACAAAAACAAATATTCGCTGTATAAAGTTTAAGCAACTTGAAGTTTATGGGGGAAAGTTAATTTGAACCACACCAGTTGACTGCCATGAAAAACATATACTGTGTGTATTGATGTACAAAATACAAATAAATTTCTTAGATGGCTCAAAAAAGGTAAAAATGATAGGAATAGTACATTTTTTGTATCTGATCCTATTGAAATGTATGCCAGTTCTCGTAGGATGGCCTCGGAAACTGTAATCTATTGTAATATTTGTCAAACTAAAATATGGATTTATAATGCATACGAAGTATAACAAATAGTAAGCATAGGAATATTGCGAAATAATATTTATGCCAATCATTAATGATAAAAATTAGCAGATGAAAAGTTCGGGAATAACCAAACCCTTTATACTCTTGCAACTTGCAAGGATTAAAACCAGGGAAGCACCTTCAGGGACTCTTCACCTTCAGCTTGTTAGTTATATGGGGTCTAGGGCGAGTTTTTAGCCGTTATAAGAAAAACACGCTCTCGTAATTTTACAAAGATAACTCTCATATTGACCCATATATGCGGTATAAAGTCACCCGGAAGTTCGAAAATTTTTATATTGGGTATATGGGACCGAGGGATGTATTGATTTCATTCAATCCATTTGTAGCACACAGATATATCATTCTCAGAGAAGGCTTATCCGTGAATTTCAATCATGTATCGCACACTCTCACACTCTTTAGAAACATTTTGCAAGAATTAAAAAATATTGCGAAAGAGTTGAAGATTGCTTACTCGACAAAATCGTAAATGTATTATAATAAAATTTGTATGTTATTAATCTACAATATTATAGGTCATAGACTAAATAAGTCCAGATACGAGTATACTCATGCGTAAGACAGAAAATAAATAATGCAGTGAAGTGGGTTCTAATTATATTCCTTTTACGCCCTCAAGCGAGTTATTTCCTGAAGCACATGTTCTATTTTTGGAAACGAAAGAATTACTAGAAACCTAAGTTGAATTGCGATGATGAAGAGGTTTGCCTCGAACGTATTCAGGTAGAGTAAAATAAAAATATTTTAGACCCAATGCGAAAAATTCACGGAGTATCATATCACGTCATAATTTTCGCAATCTACTTTGAAGTCGGCAGGACACAAGCTTTATTACCTATAACAGCTGAGTAAATATTCTAAAATACTAAAATATTTTACTTTGTAGTAATTTTTTTTTGGAACATCAAAATTTCAAAAGAACTTGTTGTTTTCCCTATTCAAATACCGAGGTTTCCAATAGAAATTATATGATTTCTAAGACGTTCTCAAGAATTGGGATTATCTCAAACTGCTCTACTGATTTTGCTTTGGTACAACTTGAAAACTATGATGATTTTTTTTTAAGAAAATCATATTTTCCAATGAGTCTAACATTCGTCTGCGTTGACTATTTTCGCCCAAAGAAGCAGCTCAGTTGTCGGAACCGCCGATATTGGACCATTACAGAATACAGCCGTCATACAAACTGCACGATCAGAATCAAGTGTTTGTATGGAAAACTGTTTCATTTGATGAGATATCTTTTCGAAATTCGGCATATTTTTCAGGAGAAAAGTTTAATCTTCGAAGAAATTGTTCAAATGGTAATCGGAATCAAGTGCTTTTATAACAAATTTTAATGTTCTTTTTTAATTAAGGCGGTTACTCACATGTACGAGGTTCTACAAAGCATTTGTGTACAAAACAAATTTAAAAACTACGACTAAGTCAAGTCAAGGATATTTTTTTGTTATTTCCATATATGTATGTCCTTTAATCACTTAACCGCTTTAAAGGTTCGAGATTGAAACATTCAATTAATTTAAAACCAACACGAATAAAGTTCAATTCCAGTGATTGACTTTTATGGCCTTGTGTGTTTATCCAAGCAAGAAATCGTCACCATATCCGTTACCAAGCAACATATCTTTGACACATTTGACAGCTAGCATTGCATTACCAGTGGAAGAATCAAAGTTACTTGTACAAAGCAAAGAAGTGGAGAAAAAAAGCGAAAGAAAAACAAGAAGCAACACTCCGGCAAGTGTCAATGGAATTTCTTGTTATTGTACAGTGGTTTTTTGTGTTTTTATTACATTTTCCACAGCAAACCTTCATGCGAGCTTTATTCTGCTGCCCACATTGGCAACAGTTTTATTGCATTCTCCTGCTGATTGCTGGTGTCAGCAATGTCACTTGACACCCGCAAACTGTTGGGAAAAACTAGACGACATGAGAAAAAAAAAACCGATAGGGCCGGATTAAACATCAATGATGGAGTGTGAGTAGGTTTCCTTTATGAGATTGCGTGCATTTGATTTGCTTATTTGAACTCTTCGCTGCCTTTGTACTCTGCCTACTTTGGGGGTTTTTAAGGAAATCAAAGTCATTGTCAGTTTCGCGTAATGGTTCCCAGCGTTAGCACTAACTGATTTTGCTGGTATTTAAATGCCTATGAGTAGATATACTTACAAACATACAATTGTATCTACATATGTAGAGCGCTCAGTAGACGCTATGTAGAGTATATTGGTGTTTACTCGTATGTACATGGGAATACTCGTGAGACAGTTAAGCCGAGCGAGTTGACAAGCACACCAGCTTTCGTCGAATTGAAGCATTCGACTGTGTAGGCGTGCCAGACATCGAACGACATGACATGACGTGACCTGACAAGGCACTATTAAGAAGTGACGAACGTCAAGGCAAGCAATGACTTGGCGATACAATTGCTTTTAGGCATGTGAAGAAAGAAAATATCCGATTTTTACAAACATTTCACCATTTAATCTGATTTTTGACTTTTAAAGGCTTACAAAAAATTAAGAGATACAAGTAAGATTTAACAAACAATATTCTGTAAAACTAGCAATAAACGACCGATTGGTGTATCTAGTAATTTTCATGAAAATATTTTCAGGCAGGTAATTATTAAATAATATTTAAATTTATAAATAATTAAGTGGACTAACTGCTTCATACGATAGCTTAGAAGTAGTATAGCAAGACCTACGCTGTACTGCGAACTTTGACACATTATTATTCTTTCCAGTCATACATATCGGAAGATGTGTCGAAGTGCACGCAAGTGAGGAAAGCTCTCAGAGCGTCATTCACTTGGGAGTGGCTAGAAACGATTATTTTACATATGTATGTCACATGCAGCTTACGACTTCCAGTCTTGACAAAGTATCCTCTGGGAAGCCAAAAAACATCCGTTTGAAGAAAGCTAAAGTGAGATGGGGAATCATCCCTTCCAAGATTAAGCGCAGGGTTTGGGATCCCCCAATCAAAAGGACACAACAACAGTCTGGGATGAGAGAAAGAAGCTGAATTTACGAAGTTATGTCTGAATTTGGTCTTAACACAAAACCAGTTCGACCTCTTGGAAACTTTCGATATCAAACGAGGTTTCAGACAAGGCAACTTCTTACCGTGCGACTTCTTCAATCTACTGCTGGGCTGTTTATTGTCTTTAGCATTTCTCATTTATAGATTCACCCGGTTTAGAAGCTCATAATGCTGTACGTTCTTCGAATCCCACCAAATATAGAGCATTACTTTTGCGTCATGGACATTTTTTGAGCTTTTGCCGTTGATTTAGAGTAGCCACGGGATATGTTCTAAAATGATTTTTTGCGCTTTTGAAATATTTTTAAATGGCTGCTTGAGTGACTCTCAAAGATTTTGCGAGCGCTGTTCCGGTATTTGGCAATAGTCTTTATTGAGTATGGTTTCATTTTCTCGCCTTCAAAGATAAGTTTTGGGTGAGATTCTCCGTTTTAAGGATGCAAAACACTTTATCGAGTAGCTTTCCGACGAATGTTTGGAATATTAGAACAATGGAGTTACGTTAATTAAGTTACGTGTTTTCTTGGTAAACAGAACGAATAATGTAGTTATAGAGCCAATAAATGCCTTATAATTCAGGTATTATGATTTTACTCGAACAAAACATTTCTGCTTTCCCTTTTTCACGGCACCTGTTGTGACAGGCTGAATATAATTTTCGTGATACTTAAAAATCGGACAGATTTTACGTTGAGAAGTAAAAGCGCTTAGGATATTACCCCAATTGAAAAAAAAAAAAATATTTTTAATGACATTCACTGTCGTGACATGATTATAGTTGCTATAAGTGGCATGAAGAACTTATTTGTGTGGCTTAAATCTACAGAAACTTGCAAAAAATTTCTTTACTTTTGAAATTTTTTCCGATGGACACTCATTACATTTGTTAAGCCCACTCCAAATATCGCAGATGTCTGATGCATTAGAGAAACCAAAGTATTTAGTTCTCTATATTTCAATCTCATTGCAAGCGAATTTCATATCATATGTTGTATACTCGTATTACCGGGCTGTAAAAGGTAGCGTCAAAAGTTACTACGCAGATAGATAACGAAAGTCTACCGCTTAAAGAGTACATTGTACACCACACTCCACACTCCACACAAAATATTAAAATTATATTAACATTATATTTCATGTCTCCAATATCGAGTTACAAGTACAAAGCCCAATTATTATGTGATAATAATATTAGTAAAAATATGAGTTTAAGTTTAGCTCATTTATATTTCCAGTACACTGACTTGGAATGATGATTCTCTACTTTGTAGCCAAAGTAACCAATATTCTTGAGATCTTGCATTAGAGTCGGTGATAATTTAATGGCATTGTAGATCGCTTTCTCCAACTCAGCGTATTGATTGTGGGATTGAAAGGGCATATGTTCGAAGCTGCACATCAGCACGTTGCCACGTTCATTGCCGAGAGCGAGCGAACGGCCGCATAAGCTCAATCTGCATTAAGAAAACGTTATAGGGATGTAGTACAGAATTCAGCGGATACCAATTTTTTAAATTTGATGTGAATCTTTTGAGAAAATTAAATGTCTGCAGTTGATGTTGTTTTGGAGGGTATGTGTGGTAAACTGTGCTATTTTTCCCGATATAAAATAGCACATTAAATTTGAATTTCTAAGAGAGTTTTCAGATAATTTTGTGTGGTAAATTTGTGGATAGTTTTGAGTGGTCATCCCTGTTAGGACTTGTATATGAAAAGCTTATAATAAAACTCAAAGCTTCTCTTTAGAGAGTAAAGAATTAGTAGAGTAAATTTAGGTTAATTTGGTACGCCATTGAGCCACGAGTAGACCAGTTTTGGTCCTTTGCCATATCAATAGCTCGATTAGTTTGTATGGCAGCTATATGCCAGTGATCCGATATCTTGAGAGATAAGCTTCGTGGCAAATTATATTATCTAACCATAGTGTAATCGAACTGTATCAAATGTTGTGTGAATCTAGATATCCTTGAGTATATATTTTGTATTTAAATCAGTACTCACTTTGCTAAAGTATGAAATGAAGAGTCAATATTTGTGGTTGATATAGGGTCCAATAAATTTCGTCGTAAATCCCACATGTCAATAGTTTCCCGATTGACAGCAATAATTACCGTTGAATGAGTGCGACTCCACATAGCACAATGAACTGGCATATAGCGGCCGCAAAGGGTTATTAGAGGCTGAAAAATACCCTCCAGCCAAATACGAATGGTCCTGAAAATAAAAAAAGATTCGAAAATAATAAAAAACAAAATTTAAAATTTCTAAAAAAAAACAATATACAAATTACATAAAACGTACTAAAAGCATGTATTTTTAGTAAATTAAGTAAGTTTACAAAAGGAAAGAAAGGACTCTTTTTTATTATTGGTGCTTTCGTCTATAGACTCAAAATTTATAAACTCTAATTCCAACGTGTTCGCAGTTCTACTTAGGCATTGATTTAGATTACGATAAATTATGAACCAGTCACAAAATTTTGCGAAAATTCAGAGAGAAATGGCAATTGCATTGAATTAAATTACGAGATACATATATCAAGGTCTTTCCCAAAAATTCAAAGAGAAACGTAGCCGATGGAATTCAATGAAGTAAAATTACTCAAGGTATAAGCTTTGCAAATTCCGATAGTCGCGACTTTTACTTTGAACTACTATTCGACATTAAGGGGAGAGCCTGATTTAGAAGCTTCAAACAATGTTTGTTTTTTTGATTTGTTTTGCTTAAATCTCTTTAAAAATAATCTAAGAATAATTTTTACAATTTAACACTTTTTTTAATTTAACTAGAAGATAAATTATTAAAAAATATGAATCTCTTTGTTTTTTTTTTTTTTTTTTTTTTTTTTTTTTTTTTTTTTTTTTTTTTTTTTTTTTTTTAACTACAAGATAAATTTTCAGGAAATATGAATCTCTTTGAATTTTTTTTTGCCAATAGAAATTGCGACCTGTATCCTGCCCGCCGTACCATAAATACATATGCATCGGGTAATTGCTTCCCACAGGCGAAATATCAAAGTTTTCGTATCCAAAAATATTTGTGAACGATGCTTAACTATATAACTATAAACTCTAGAAATTTTCTTTTAATCAATTATTTCTTTCCATCCCAAAAAACTCCGCAAAAAAATCGATTTTTTGAAGCCTGTAAAACCGGACCCTTAAGAGCTAAATCAAATAAGAAGCGATGATGTAAATTACGAAGAAAGCAAAGTCGAGTATTCACAAAATATGTATACTCTCATGTTCGGAAACGACACTTAGAGGTGTATATGTACTTCATCCGTTCGCCACACTCACCAATCATTGCCACAGGTTAGAAACAGTTTCGGTGACCAAGGTGAGAAATCCATATGATTAACGGAGCCCTCATGAACCTTCAACATCTCCAAATAATGATGTGTATGATTCAACGAGCACTTCTGTATGCAACCCTCGTCGGTGAGTATGTAATAGATATCGCTTTGCACCGGATGCATAACCAGATGCAAACCGCTAGCGCTGCGCCCCGAATCGAGCGATTTTTCTTCGTTCATTAAAATATTTTTGGATTGAAAACCCTCAGGATTGCCTTCGATGCGCAGTAGCTCCATCTGACGCATACCCAACAGATATGGGCTCGCTATAATGCGAAATTTCGCTACTTTGCCATCACGAGTTAGCGCTAAAAATGGATCTGCTTCGGCGGCATTCTCTTGTGTTTGGCGAATCCATTGTATAGCGGTTACCGGTTCACAGCTCAATAAAACGCTACGCTGCGAAATCGCAACCGGCGGATAGTCCGGTTTTGTTATGTTTCGCACTTGCACTGTGCCATCGTATAGGCCAATGGCAAGGAGAAAAGGTAAAAATGGTGAGAACTCAACTGCTGATACTGGCACTGGATAGCTGTATTGGCGTTCCGGGTTTTGTGGATTCTTCATACTCCAAACGCAGACATTACCATTCGGCACGGTCACTTTCGCGGCATCCGAATAGAAACCATATGCGACGGCTATTAGATCACCATTGCCATGACAAAAGCTTAGAGCAGCAATAGCTTTGCGTCGCTTATCCAGGCCACCTTGAAACTTGGGCTGTATCAGACGATAGAGCAGATTCAGCGAATATTTATACTCGGCATATTTGTCCATTTTAGTGGGTATATTCATGTTGCGATAACGGCGCTGTCCCTGATGATAGCAATTGCTAGCCAGTATGCGTTCCAACACCATGGCCGCATAGGAGAATTGTGGATTTTTTGCAATTAAATCTAAAACGCCCGTACTTAGGGAGTGCCGTTCATTGAGCACCGTCGATGTTTGGAGTAATTGTTGGTAGGTGTCGAACATTTCGAAAAATGATACGTAGGCCGCCCTTTCACCGAATTTCTTTGAGATTGTACTGACAGTGCGCGGCTTCATTAGCACACCGACCGTCTGCGTTTCGGCATCGGAACGCCGACGTACCTTGCCCTTACCGGTTGTTAGGTAATCGTAAATATGATTGTCATGTTCAACAGCCTCGGCTTCTGCACTGCCTTTCGGTACGGTAAAACTGTTTTGATGGTATAACACGAATTCGGGCGACTTGCGCAAAACTACTTTTATAAAAGGTAAAGGTTCTCGCTTGGCGTATGTAATTTCATGGTAATAGTGATGATTTTCGTGGAGTGAACCGGTCGATCCAATTGCTTGTATGATTTCATCCAGTGAAAGCTTCAGTCCCAAGCGTGTACTGGACTTGGCTTTCACTGAACTTATGCTTATTCTGCGACTGTTGAAACTTTGTACGCTGGAACTTTTGGTCATTTGTTTTATAAGATCTTCGGCGTAGGTGGCTATATTGCGAAAACGGAGCGTTGATCTCGTGTCGGTATCGATGAGTTTGGGTGTGACATCTATACTTTTACCACGTACAATATCCCTCAGTTCCAAAGATTGGCGCCAAATCATCGCATTTTCGATTTCTTTGCTCAGCGCGAAGTTGTAGGTGACGCGCGATATGTGACTTTTTTTCATTTCGCCGAACTAAAAGTATGAAAATATATAAAGAAAAAAGCTTCCATATACACGTACATCTTTCTTACGGTTTTGCGCGACATTTTGGGTTTGACTTTTGCAGCGAATAGGTGGAGAGTAAATTAATCGATCTTGGAAAAAGTCTAAGAAAAAATTGTGTGTGAAAAAATATGGTTTTCAAAATATGTATATATGATTGATTTTTGGATTCTTGTAAGTGTCAGTATACGAAAAAAATCAATTGAACAAGCTCACTCAGTTATGGAATTGAAAAGAACTCAGTCAAAGGAAAATTACTCTTGTACTGTTTAATATTCTCTTTTTGAACACATTTTTGAATAAAAGTTGCCGGCTTACAGGCTTTACTACTGAAACAAAATTGCCATAAGTCATAGGGTATTAAAACTGCATTATCAGGTCAGGTTCATACTAATAACCGGTCGGCTCTTTCTGAGACTTTTACTCCAGAGACAATAGGCTCAATCGTTGTTTTGGCGCTAATTATACTTAGTCATTCCTCTCGTTCTTTATATAAAGTGTATATGCTAAGGTGGCCATTAAGTCTATATTTATTATATATTCTTCGAAATAGCATAAAAGACTAGGTCAAATCTAGTAAAGATACGTGAGTTACCCTCAAAATCACTTGTGGTCTAATCCGGATATCAGGTTAGAAGCATAAGAACCGCCCAACCAAGCTCCCGGAGCTCCAATCGGGCATTTTTCTATGTGTGTTGTCTGTTGTTGGCTTGATCAAACTAAATTTCTTTCCTATTAGCCAAATGAAACCACTTCTTAGCGATTTCTTCCTTAAGTTGATTCAATTTATAACAGTGCTGAAACGAATTCGGAGTGCGACGTGGGTAAAGTAAGTTCATGGCAGATGATTTTCTGCCAATCATACACATAAACAACTCAAATTCGGCTTGGCCACCGGTTGTGCGAATCACTAAGATTCGACAGCGACGCTTTTCGTACGACAACGAGTATATGACAGCCGTATTCCCCGTATGCCAATAGATATTTTCGACAATTGGATTTTTTTATAGGAACGCTACAAAAGTAGACCGATATGGTCAGCAAAGGGTGCCATATTTTTTCCCGCTCTTTTGACATTTTTCCGCAGTAAGGTTTGTCATCTCATTATGGATAGATTAAGATCCAACAACGAGTCGAAATTCTCAAAATTTACTATCAAAATTCGGAGTCTGTGGCGTCAACTTAAAGGGCGCTACGTCAAATTTATGCTCGTCATAATCGTCCTGTCAGACCATTAATTGAGCGTTTAGTGGAAAAATTTGAATTCACAGGCCTAGTACAAAATATTCCCGAGCCAGAGAGATAAATAAGTGTATGTATTAGTGAGAATATTGGTACCGCAGCGCATCAATTGAGAAAGACCCAAATCAATCTCTCACAAGTCGTTCTCAATCGTTGGAAATCTTTGTGAAATCGTTGGAAATCTCTTCGTCGTTGTGGCGAATTTTGCGAAACGATCTCGACCCGCATCCTTACAAGATTACATTGATGCAAGAACTGAAGTCGCTTGACCACCGGAATCATCTTGTGTTCGTGAATTGGACTTAACAACAACTTGAAAATTATCCGGATTTTCATCGGAAAATCATCTTCAGTGATGAGGCTCATTTTTGTCTGAACGGCTTCGTCAATAAGCAAAATATGCATTATTGGTCAGGCAGCAACCCCCATGTATTCTACGAGTCACCATTGCATCCGGGAAAAATACGGTTCGGTGCGGTTTATGAGCCGTCGGCGTCATTGGGCCGTACTTCTGCCGTGAAGATCAACACCTGCACGTTACTGTGAATGAGAATCACTACCGTTCAATGATACTCGAATATTTTTAGCCCGAATTGGATAATATGGACTTGGACAATATGTGGTTCCAACAGGAGGATGCCAAAGAGACACAGCGAATGTCACAAGCGATTTATTGAAAACCAAATTTGGTGAACGTGTTATCTCACGAAATGGCCCAGTCAATTGGCCGCCTCGGTTGAGCGATTGGACGCCGTTTCCTGTGGGGCTACGTCAAGTCTATGGTCTATACCAACAAGCAAACGACGATTGATGTATTCGTACGAATATCGACCCTGAAATTGCAGCAAACCCGTCGAAGAATGGGTTCAGCGTTTGGACTTCTGCAAGCGTGCCTATTGGGGCCATGCAAAGAAATCGAGTTCCATACATAATGGTATTGAATGTACTTTCACAGCAATAAATAATTTCATTGATAACGTTTTTGTTTTTTTTAAAACAAATTTTTGCGCCCTATTGAAAAACGCGTTATTGGGTTCGGGAATTGCAAAACTGCTAGATAAATAGATTAATATGGAACGTTATCTTTCTAGTGACGTACAAATATATATAACCCGATCAGACTTATACAACGTGATACAGATTACGAAAACCTTTATATATATATAAATCATATTTTGATGCATTATCCCGATAAATATTTTTATATAAGAGGAAGAAATTTGGATTCGCAAACCAAATTTCAAAGAAGAAATGCCTTGCAAAAAAAATTTTTTTTTGTTTTTTTTTTTGATAACCCTCACTGCTATTTCATTTGGTTTAACTGCATTTACGTCCCGCAAATATTTCTCAGTTACAGTCACCCTTTCCATCCAATTTTCTCCAACGAATTTTCTATTTCAGAGCGACTTGGTGGCATGCTGCGTTGCTGCCACAAGCGGAAATGGATGAAAAAACAAAAAAAATGTATAGTAAGTGTTGCGAAAAGGAACAATAATCGGCAAGACCGTCAGCAAACGTCAACAACCCGCTTAGAGCACAGTTAAGCCAGCTACTGAGCTGCCAAAATGCATTTTGCGAATTTCACGCAGCTAAAGTAAACACAATTTTGTGCGGGTTAAGCGTTGCAGATTTGCGCGTTATCGAGTGGAAAGCTTATTCAAAGTCTTCTACTTTTTGTTGTGGGGTGGGGAGACAATGTTTTAAATTGCTTGCAGTAATAGTGGTGCGAAATTGTGGAAGATCTTAACGGAATTATTAATAAATGCCAAGCAAGTCATACTTTTACTTTGTTTAAACGGGACTGCGATTGGAAAACCCCAAATTTTCGAAAAAAAAAGAGTTCAATTTTGTTGTCCCTGTGTGACTCACGAGTCATATAAAGTCAAGCTTTATTTAATTAGCGTTAGGTTATGCAAGCAGGCAATAGCTTAGGTGAACAATCTCTCAGCAGGTAATTCGACTGATATTACTTGGGTATCCTAGGATCATAAGGAATAGGAGGAAATTACATGGAAGATAAGAAGAGGCAGCTGGAAATAAAATTCCATTGAGTTGAGGGTTGCTTGCAGCATTGGACTCTAGAGTAACATCTGAGATCTTGGAACACTACTGACAAAGGACATACCAGAAAGTTGTTTTAAGGTGGTGTTGATGGTGGACAGACTATTACTATTTGCCTATTACTTCTAGGCAATGGTGAACTTAGTGACTTTAGAGGGGCCAGCATAGAGCAGCTACTCTGAAAATACCACCTCCAGAAAACGGAAAAAGTAGTTTTCCACTCACGACTCAGCTGTTCCTCACGAGACTATAATGACATTCATTCATTGAACACTTCAAATTGAACACTTTGATGTACAAATACATGAAAATAATGAGAATTTCCTTACTAAGTATGAGTGTGTCAGTGTCTATAAAAATACCTAATTTATTTGCTATTACTTCTAATAATAAATTTGTAATAATAGCATAGTGCTAATCAAACAAATATGTGATGAACTCTAAATAAATGCAATGAACATCAACTAAAAGGACAGCAGAGCTTAAATACTACATTTATCACGTGCGCTTGTGTAATTTAATAATAGAGGATTAGTTTCATAACTTATTTAAGCATTAAACAGCAACACTATTGCAGTTAAGCTGAATACTGTAATCCCACCAAGTTGCAAGTTATGTTAGTTGTTTAACTAAATATTTCTCTAAATGTGTAAACAACAATAGTCACCAATATTATGTTCAATAAAATGTAAATAAATGGGAGCATTTCAGTGCAAAAATGTCTTAAAATATTTTTCCTAAATATTGATAATTATTTAAAATTAGGTTAGGTTAGGTCGTAGGGTTGATTCAAAAATCGATAGATCTCCCTTGGACGGATAGTTTTCTTTTGTGTTACCCAAAAACGCCTTAAAGTGCATCACCTCATAAAACGCGTGTTATGGTATAAGCTTAACGTAAATTTATTAAGGCGGTTAGTATCAATCTCAGCCACTTCGCTAGGTTTTCCAAAAGCGTGTCTATCGAAATATTTTAATTTCAGTGTGGCTTAAGCTGGGTAATAGAGAAGAAAGTGGCAAAGGGATTCCACCTCGCCTTCCTACATAGAGCTATAGCAATAAATGTAGGGATGGAAAGATTGTTTACTAAATCGATTCTCGATTCCGATATTTTTTCTATATTTTTTGATTCTAAGAATCGATTAATCGAGCGCAAGAATCGATTATTTCGATTTTAATCGATTTTAAATTAAAAGGACAAAAATTTATTTATTAAATCACAAGTCACAAATTAAATGAATAATTCAAATCGATTAAATAAAACACAAAAATAGTTAAAAAGAATTATATTTTTTTGTCTATAAATAATGTACCAAGAACATTACATTTCATATACATTTTTTTTTTAAATAATTCAATTTGTTTAAACAAGTTTAATAGAATAAGTTTTTAAATAAATTTAAAATAAGTAAAACAACAATAAGCTAATTGTCAGTTTAAGAAAACCATACATTTTCCGCGACAGATCTTAAAAACAGAAGCATATTTCAAATTTATAGATAGCTTAAATGCTAACACAACACCCTAATTACCATGAAAGTAGCAAAAAAAGTATTACATAACACCCTAAGATTTTCTAGAGATCCGTATATGTATGCAAACAAAGCAAAGGTTTATTACTGTATATACTGAGGTATGTATAACTTGAAAATAGTCACTTAATTAACAGTAAAGTCGAATCGATTCTTAATCGACTTCGACTACTGAAGATCGATACCGAAAATCAATTATTTTACGAGAAAATTCGATTCTCGAGTAGAATCAGATTCGAGTTTACCATCCCTAAACAGCGACCGGCAAGATGTTTAGCCGCACCGCGTGTG